CATTTTAATCTTCCAAGTTAAATATTTACTTGTTAATCTACTTTCCCCCTAAAAAACAAAACGAAACAAACAACTGAAATAAATTATAAAAACTCTAAATAAAAATGGTTTTCCTTTCATTAACCATTGACACAGGCCACAAATCTAAGGGAAAGTACACAAAAAGAGGAAACTATAAGAATATCTATAAACTGAAACTGCTGCTATTATGAAATCAAACATGCAGAAAACCCAAACACTGACTATCATTCATTTTATGTGTTATCTGTGGAACCTGGGATAAAAGCAAAACATTAACTACTGAACATTAAATGGAATTATTTCACCTGTTCACGCTAAATTGGCCTTAGCAATAAGCTCCTCTAAAGTTTGTTTTCAATAAACAGTTTGAATTTCAAGAAAAACATTCTTTTAAATCAACCTATAGCTGAAAACCCAACATAATGTAGATATAATTCAGATAGAGCTGTGGTAATGAAATGTTTAGATCAATTTTCTGAGGGTTTGATTTTCTTTTAATAAGCAACAAACTTGGCAACTTCTGCTGGGTTTAAAGGGGTTACATTGGTTGAGCTGAAATGGAATATTTGCTGCTCTATGAGCCCTAATGCAAGCCTGGTTAAAAGCCCCAGAATTAAACAACAGGTTTTCTTCTTTTATGGTATGCTCATGAATATTTAGATGAGCTGTGCTCTGATTGGTTGGTTTACAATGAGCCAAGCTGCTGAGCAAAGACGCATCATAGCAACAAGCACTCACTCACTGAAATATCAGATTGTTGATGTGGTAGGGTGACCAGACGTCCTCTTTTTCCAGACATGTCCTACTTTTCATACCTAAAAAAATGTCCGGGGGAATTTCTAAATCGTCTGGGATTTTGGTCGACTACAGTGCAGCAGAACCGAGCCGTCAGCTCCGGTCTGGTGCGGGAACCCCGGCGGACAGAGGCAGGGAGCCAGCGGGGGACGGAGTGACCGAAGCTGACCTGGTGCCGGTAGCCTAGACAATGGCTGCCCCAGGTATGCAATTAGTTAATTGCATACCTGTCACATGTTTAGAGCAAATGAACAACTAAGCATCAACCTTTGCAGGGATCTTCTGATAGACAAAAATAATCCATGCCTGTCGAGTCTTCGGATCCTTGGGAAGACTGTGAAAATGTTCCCCTTCCTCCGTGCAGCCTGGAACTTCTTGTGCATTTCCTTCCTGTGGTTCTGGCTCATTTTCAATAGAGAAACTGCCTGCTCCGTAATTCTTGTAGAAGTAACCCAACTATAGGCTAAACAGCTAAACTGGTGTCTTACATCTACCTCTATTTATGTTCTTGGGCCACTAAACCAGTGGGCTGGTCTGGATGTCAGTTTTGGGCCGACACAAATGTACAGGCCAGAACCAAATAAGGCAACATCCCAGAGGATTCACCTGTTTTAAGGTGGAAGTTTCGAATTGTGAGATTTGCAGAGAAAGGAGGTGTTGATGGGGTTTGATCTTCTCTGTACGTCCATTTCACCAACTGAACTATTGTTATTCATCCTAGACAACGGAAATTCGGTTTTGCATTCTATGACCCCTTTAAATGCATGAAAAGCAAAGCGTTAGCTTCTTGTGAGCTTGAACTGACAGCAAAGACTTGGCTTTAAAAACATTGGTTTTCAAAATTATTTTCCGCTTTTCAATCACTTTTTTTCTTGAATTTAATAAAAACACAACAATAACTCCTGGATGCAACATTCCAGATGAAGCACCAGTTCCCTGATCTGCCACTGGAAACCAGTTTATGGGAATGCGACGTCACGGTTTGCTCCCAGTGAGGAAGATCCATCTCTCCAGCCAGTTACTGGAAGCTGCTGGAGGTCACGGGTTGGCTCTGGGTCCTCCTACCGAGGAGTAGACCACGTCTGGGTCTGGTTGACTCTCTGGAAGAACAAACACACACTGGTTCTGTTAATGGGAGAAATATGGGTCCACATTAAAAGCTGTTAGACTGTTATTTATAAAGTGAGAATTCATACTAAACAAAAACAGATTTTTCAGATCAGATTATCAGTTTATTATTGACCTTCTTTGGCTTCCTGTAAGTTTGTATATCAGTGATACACGAGAAAAGCTCCAACTGGAAAGTCAAACTACTGAAGCAGATTTAAAGAAGAGAAGAATCCTCCAGAAATCCTCTGGTTTGGACTCATATACTTGTAA